TCACATGCTTGTGTTCCTATTCTGTGTAAATCCCCCTCCCCGAGTTGTGCACCTCGACAGCGCCAGCGCTGTGAGCAGTCAGCTGCTGGGCGTGCTGTTCTGATTTATGGTGCTAATGAATTTTTTAGGAATCTGGGATGTGGAAAGTTAGTATGTACATACCCGAACCGTGTTCCCTTCACAAAAGTCAAGGGCGCCATAATTTACGCTCAAGTGCAAGAGCATCTCTGCGTGTCTTTCGATTTTATGCGTGGACCCACAGCGCCAGACCCTCTCCTGGTGAAAGAAGGAACGAAATGTGGTCCTGGAAAGGTGAGAAATACGGCCTCAGCCTCTGGAAACGGCATGTGATTATCGCCACCATCACCATTTCAGAAATAGTCACCGTTCTGCAGTACGAGTTAAAAGCTGGTCTGCACTCGGGTTTTTAGCAATTATGAGCTGTGCATTGACTTTTGGGTGTTCTTTAGGGCTAGGAAACCCCTCAGAGTTACAGCAAGCCTGGGCAAGGGTGATGAAAAAGTTCCCAGCGGGATTTTTTTCCTTTTGGTCTTTCAGGTTTGTCTGAACGGCACATGCCACCCACATTCAGTCCTGAAGTACGACTGCAACGCACAGAAAAAATGCCACGGGCATGGAGTAAGTCAGGGCAACGCGGTTAAGTTCGTGCTGTAGGTCTGGCGAATAGTGCTGAAGAAGAGAGAGCGATTCTGTTCAAATGCCCACTGGGGTTTCTCTATGAACTGCCTGGACCTGTGCTTTGGGCAACGCTTGTTCTCTGAAATCATCACGCAGTGGTGAGGGATGGTGGGAGAAAGTACGTGAGACTACATAACCTGCTTCCCGCCCCAAGTGGAAGATGGGTGAGGTAAAGGGGCTTGGAGCATTTGCTTGTCTAGGTGAGCAGAAAACTGGAAAAAGCGTCTCTAGAGAGAATTTAACTGCACGTAATTGAAGTAGTGCTGGAAACGATCAGCGTAGCTGTGCAAGGCGAGAGGCAGGGCGGCGAGGAGCGGAGCGGGAAGGCGGGGGAAGGCTCTCGCCCGGCGGGGGGCTGGCAGTGACCGAAGCACGGGAGCGGGGCGGGCAGCGGCGGGCAGGGAAGCGGCAGCCCCGGTGGAGATGGAGCGCTGTTCCTCAGTGGGGGTTTTACAACGAGGGAAGTTTTCTGCTCACCCTGGTGTTTGCAGGTGTGCAATAACAAGAAGAACTGCCACTGCGATCCGGGCTGGAACCCTCCCCAGTGCAAGACTCGAGGATCCTCTGTAGGCAGCAGCAGCGCACTGGGTCCCAGTAAGTGCCGTAGCCCGGCTCTGGGTGCCCCGTGGTTTTACTGGGTGCAACAGCAGCTCCCACGGCCCCACAGTCGGCCTCGTGGGGCTCGCAGCCGAGCAGACAGCCTCTGGCATCGCCCAGCCCTTACCCGGAGCTGGACCTTTGCTTCCCTCCCTAGAGCATATCGCCAAAAGCTCTGCCCTGGCCGTGCTGAAGAACTGGCGGCTGGTGCTGAGCTGCGGCATCGTCCTCCTCGCCCTGCTCTGCGGCACCCTTGTGGTTATGAAGGGGAGCCAGCTGAAAAGATTCTGCGCCAGGAGGGGATCGCAAACGGATGGGTGAGTTGATATTAGTTAATGCAAGTCCTCCATTCTGGGCGTGGGAGATGGGCAGGGATTTGTGGGAGCACGGAATTACTGGAAAAGCTGGCGAGTGGGATTTACAGCCTGGGCAGAGCAGGGAAAGCGGCGCTTGGGGAACAGCAACTGTTTGTTGGTAAACTGGGAACAGTCTGTGGGTCATCAAGGGAAGAAGCTAGCAAGCAGATGTCCAAAATACACAATGTGGGGGAAGAGAAGCTACGGGTGGGTTTCCTGGCACCAAGCACGCTGTCCGTGTGCAAGAGCTGGAGGACAGAGGTTTTCCACTTGCTAATCCCTGGGAAAGCGAACCGTAAGGGGGAGGAGCGGGATACAGGAGGAGCTGCGCGTCCCGGTAGAAAGGGAGAGGGGAGCCTGCGGATGGGGAGGAGGAGCACGGGGAGCGGGGCTGGGTCCGGACACCGGGGGCACCAGGGGCTGAGGC